CGTGCCGAAGCATGGCTCTCCCACACTTAATTATACATTTTACTAAGATATTTTTATTAGATAGTTTAGTATATAAGATAGTCTACCTTTATATTTTAGGTATAATTATAGCTTGACTCTAAGACTAGGTAACTAATACACTACTATCAAACCTTACTCAACTCACACTCAAGAAAGTTAGTTTCTAGAACCGTCTAGCTACAAACACCATAAAGAATGTCTGTCGTCCAACGACATTACTGTTCTACTTCGAAGGGCAAGTTGTCACCGTAATTATAGACATGAGACACTTTTCAACTTTGTCTTTGAACCCTAAGCGACGTGTGTTGTGACGCATCGACGTCCGTACACAACCGTGACCACTTTCCACCTTCTGTATATAGTAGACTAGCGGCCCGTCCCGGCTTCGCACGGGGGGACTTAAGATTTTTTACATAGTTTTTCGCGGACTTTTTTAAAAATAATGTTAAGATGAACAATTCATCTATAGAGCATTTTTGTATAACTTTAACTATATGCTCAGCGCACGCCACGGAAGGCCTCAGAAACGATACTTCTACTTTTGAGTTTATTCATTACAAAAATACAAAAATACAAATCTTTCCTCTTTATAATATTAGTATCTATAGATAAATGTTTATGGTTCTAAACAAACCTCTACATCTACTAATTACATTCTAAAAATGTACATTTTATTTTCATTCATTTTGAATCCATCAATGAATAAATATATCTAATCATATGTCTCATAATAAATTAAATTAAGTATTAGATTAACAAATCAATCTCATTATTTTTACTTATTGATATATACCTCTATTCTTAAGTATTCTTGGCAAAATATTAATTTTTATAGGTAATCGTTAAATTGATAGCATGACAATGAATAATATAAAAACTATCGAATAAATGTCAATTTTTATTACTATTTAGTGCGTGTTGGCTTCAGTAAGCATGTATCTATTACAGATAAATAAAACTGTGATAAAATTCTGCGAACACTAGCTCGCGTGGTAAACAGAAATATACCACAGATAAATTATGGAAATAACATAAAATGCAAATATTTTATCTTCGAGCTGAACAACGTATGTACGTAGTTAACATATTGAATGTAGTGTGCATACTTTCTGCTTTCTTCATCGGCGCAGGCGCACGCCGTGACGTCACTAGATAGTCTCATAGCTAGTGTTTTAGTGAAAGGTTTTAAGACAATTTAATGATCCTTAACAGCACAACATACATTACGTTGTTAATTTAACAAAGTTTTATGTAAAGAGAAGCATAACTTACATAGCAAACATAATAATATTAATAATCACACAAGAGCCTACGCTTAGCATCATAATGAACGTATTAAAATCACAATTATGTCAGTAATATATAAACCCCTTAGTACATGGGACTCATAACATAAATAGTGAAAAGTGTGTGTTACATTGTACAGTGGCATAATGTGCACCTCTGCCTACCCCTTCGGGGATAAAAGGCGTGATGTTATGTTATGTTATGTTATTAATATGCAAACTTACACAAACTCATAAAAACCAAATGACACAATAATAATTCACAATAACAATTTGCAATATTATATAGACCGTGAACAATGACTTCTTTTACATAATATCTTGTAAAAGAAAAATTATGTTTTACAGATGTTATAACTCATTCAAAGTCATAAAGATAGGAATCGATGACAAATAAAGATAATTATGACGTTTTATTGTATATTAAATCTTAAATTAACGAGCATAGAGTAGGTATGTTTTATTAAAGATAGTGATGGATAATGTCAATTATCCATATGTGGAAATTCAAAGAGATTTAGCAATTTTCTTTTTATGTGCTAAATAGGCTAAATCTAAAGTAATTTGTGTTACTTAAAGCGTGTCTTCGCTTAAAAAAATATGTAATAATACCTCTGTTGTCAATTTTTAGTTTGTTAACAGTTTTTTTATTATAAACGTTCATAATCACCAACATTTCATGTCCTTCTAACATTGTGATAAAAGTAACCTCACACAATATGCGTTTGAAGCCAATTCCTTCGTACGTAACTAACAACTTTTGACTAATTGGTAAGTGTTTGTCAGTAACTTTATTTTTTATCAAAATCTTTTTTTTTTAATTATGTATTCGTTAAAGGGAAAAATTAAAATTAGAATACTGAACAACATAATGTATCAATTATTTTTTTCTTTATTTTCAGACCGTGATACTGGTGTACGAATACAGTATCAACTTACAAGCAAATGTAAATAAAAAAGTTACATCAAAACCCAACTGGATTGGTCTAATCAATGATAGCGATATTACATCGATAAGCTCTAAGTTTAATAAAAAAATCAACTTTGATAGAACAACACTAAAATTATTGCCTATATTATTGAAGGCGTTAAACAAAAATCGATATTTAGAGAAAATCTTAGAAGACTACTCGAGTTCCAGCCCACCTTTTGCGGGAAAAGACTCTACTGAAACATTTACAAGAAATGTATTTGCCGATTCCAAGAATTGGTTAAAATTACCAACAACCAGACACTACACAGTTGATTACAAAACTTCGCCTTTAATTTTCTGGAAAAATCCAACACAACGTCAAGATTACCTTACTAAAATAAGAAAGATAAGAGATTACAAAAGAATGTTAAACTATTTTGACAAAATGGTCAATGATAAAAATGGCAGCAATCAGAAAAAAGATTTTGAATACACTGAAAAGCCATTCATTGCAGAAACAGTTCCCATGAAAAAAGCCAAGCCCAGAAAAGTGCCACAATACCAACCTCCCTTTTACTCAATTGATGAAAGAAAGGAATACAAATCAGAAGAAAAGGGCGCCCAATCTAGTTGCAAATGTCCAAAGAGATTAGGTAGCTTGTTAACCAAATTAATAGCTGGAATACAAGATATAATTCCTCATATTATTAATAATAAAATGAATCCCCATACATGCAATAAGACAAAATCAGTTACAGTTCCAACTCCACACAAAACTCTTCATGAAAATGAAAGAAAACTAAAAACTGAAACATTACTATCAAATGAAGTATACACAGCACTTCCATTAAAACCATATTTCGATACTGAACATAAACATAGAAGAAAATTTCAGCCATCAGACAAATTTAAAGCGACCACGAGTAAAAGTACTTCTACTAGTACCACATCTGCCACACCACCAACTACCAGTACTACTTCTAGTGCGACATCAACTACAAGTACGACTCCTAGAACGACTACTACTAGAACGACTTCAACTACTACAACTACAACTCCTAGGACAACTTCAAGAACGACAACCACAACTACTACTATGACTACTTCTTTTACCACGCCTACAATGTTCACCTCTAGTACTGATCCCAGTACAACAACTATTGACGATCAATCACTATCTGTTGAAATTAAAGATAGTAAAATACCTTTGGTACAAAATACATTACGAATGCCAACGAAAATGAATATGTTACAATCTCCCTTAGAAACAAATGAAAAAAATATCTATGACTACGATTTCATATTTAAACCAACTGACTTTAATATAGAAACTACAAAAAAATCAAACATGAAAACTCCAACAACAGAAATGTTTGTTCCAATCAAATTTATTGATTCTTCTCATGAAAGTTCTACAACTGAAAAATGGGTAGAGACGGTAAGCTCACATCGTCCACAAATGCATGTACCTTTATTTAAAGAAGAAGAATATGATGATTACTTCATCACAACACCCAGCAGAAGTATGGGTGAACTAGAAAACCTCGAACTTCCTAATATGAAATTAATAAAAAATAAAATGACAAGTCTTAATAGCCCCCCACCAACTAAAATTCGTGATAAAATGATTGTTAAATACAAAACTACCACTTTTCGTCCGGTGAATAAGTCAGAAGACTTAGATTTGGCTTCGATGCGAAAAATGGCCGATTTGATATATTCGCCTCAAGAAAAAACTACAAAAGACACAAAATATACAACACAAACTAAGGCTCCTGTTCCATTCTACGGAAAATACAGTGATCCAACATTACTCATTGACTTTAAAACAACCAATTCTGTAGATAACAATAAAAACACTAGAATCCCTCATTCAACTTCTTCAAAAGATATAAAACGAGTATCAAACCCAATGTCTGACATGAAAATGGATAATGACGACGCAAAACTTAACGCTGATCTACATATGAGCGAAAATGTATTATTAGACGACGAATTTCAAGAAGAATATAGTTATAGACAAATAGATATCACAACTAAAATTCCTGATAAGTATTTAATAAGCCCGCCTATTCCAGAAGAGAGTAACAAAACTATTGATACGCATAGAGAAGAAATAAAAACACCAGATAAGTGGGAACGGACAAAAAATGAAGAAAAACTCATCCACAAGCCATCTAAATCAATGTTGCCTTCTATGCGGCCAATATACTTAAAAATTCAAAGAAATAACGAATGGCGACAAGATGATCACGCCGATTACGATATTAATTTTAACAACAATATATTTGATTTACCAAATAATATTAATTAGTTTAATCTAAACAAAGCAATACTTAAACTTATTAAATGGTTCTCTTTAAAGTTGTTAAAGAAATATTATCGTACTTGGATCATTTCATTCGTATATATACCTGGATTGGAGTTTGAGTTTGATACAAATAAAATTATTGGCAATTGTATTCTTATCGAATACCCACGAGTTTCACTGCATATACCGAATAAAACCGTATGAAGATTAGGGTGAAGATGCAGGTTTTATTTGCTGGTAATTTCTTGTTCTGTAATCCATGTTTTTATTTGTTTCCTTTTTTTCCTACATTTTACTTGCAAACCAAAACGGAATGTCTGCGTGAACTGAAATTACTCAATGCACTGATACTGTAGTTTAGTGATTTGAACAGTATCTAACATTTTCTTTTATTTCAGTAACTAACGCTATACACTTTAACAATTTCAAAGTGATACGAGTTAACAAAAGTTTTATATTTCTTTTACAGGTAATTCTTCTGATCTACGAATACGCGATAGCTGTAGAATGGAGTTTAGTACAAAACAAACAAATCACGAATAGATCCAACGCCACCTGGAGGGACCAGCCTTTTGCCGATAGACTTGACCGCAGTTACTTTGGACTCGATCAAGATTATTATGAACGTATGCCCTTGCTAATTAATGCTTTGCAAGAAAGCAGTTACTTTGACCCAACCATAGAAACAACAGGGCCTTTCGCCAAGAGACGATACAACATGACATTAATAAAACCGACAACAACGAAACCGACTTTTAAGCCCAGTCCAGTCAGAAGGACAAGTCCTCGACCCTTTTTCTTTGAATACAGAAGTCCCACTCCACTACCCTTTAGTAAAACCTATGGCTCAAGAAGTTGGATAGAACGATATCGAAACGAAGAAAGATTAAAAAATATTCGCCAGATAATAAAATATTTGGAAACCACAATTAACGCTAAGTCTGGAGACTTACATTCTAAGCCCTCAAGCACGCACATTGCTTTTACTGGTGTTTATATTGAACCAATGCTAGATCATAAAGGCGTTGATATAGATCCTAAGTCAGACTTGCAACAAGAAAGCTCAGAAAATATAAATCAGTTTAAATCGAACCATCTAGCAGATCCGCTCTTCAATTTCAAACCAGAAAGTCCTGGAGAAGTCAATCTGTTAGCTGACGACTTTTTACGATTTGCACCTATTCCTACACCGAGTCTAGATACTGCCCACAATTATCCAATGTTCCGACAGATTCCATTTAACAAAAGGAATTGTCTGGGTAACAAATGTGAACAAAATTTTCCAAGTACTATTGAAATAAAACCAACTGAAGCTCCACCGCTGAGTACTACCAAATCATTTAGTGTTATGCTCAATTTGTTTCCCATGAAAAAGGAACCCACGACCACTTCAAAATCTTTAGATAATATTTACCTTACAACTTCACGACCTTTGATACAATTTAAAAGAAAGTCCAATGTCGCTTTTCGGCGAATATTTACTCCGTATAAAAGACCGAAATATTTAAGCAACATTATAAATAAACAAAATAAAGTTATGAAGCCTAAGGAGAATCAAAATAAAGAAACACCAACTGCGGAAGGTACACAAATGATTGTACACGTTAAAGTGTATAGTCCTAACGAAAAAACCGATTTGAAAAACGAAACAACTAAAGTGCATTCTACGATACCTTCAACACAAACGAATCCTTACACTACAAAGGCTCCTATAGAATTATCGACATCACAAATAGAAGATCATCACATAGGTAGCTCGGGTTACATACCAGTTGAAGCTAGTACAGAACCAACTCTTCCAAAAGTGACAACCATATTACCATTCTTTGAATCGACAACTGACCATTGGCCAGCTCCCACTGAAGTATTTCAATTCAATGCAGAAGACGCAAAAGTGCCTAATCAGTATCTAGAATTAGAAAGAAGAAGTAATAACCGTCAAAGTATACAGATTAGTAGACGGAATTCTGGCGAAGAATTCAATGATCATGAAGAATTAAGTACACTTATTGTTAAACTTAAAAATGAATACGTAAGAACTACTACAGAAGCTCCTTTGCTTAAAAGTACAGAGAAAGTAGAGGAAACCACAACAGAGTGGACGTATGTACCCCAAATAAATGGTCATTATAGACACATTAATCAAAATTTAAAGAATGGTGATACTGAGTTGAATGCGAATCCAGAGAATAATAGAAAAAAGCGTTTAGAGCAATCAGTATCGGGTTATCGTACTTATGTTCCCATGTATGTAGAAATTAAAAGAAATCATAGCCAAACTCCGACCAGCGATTCTGAGGAAATTATTGATAACAAAGACAGTAAATAATGATTTGTTTCATTGTGATTTTAATGTAAAATGATCTATGTAGTGTAACGATAATTAGTTATAATTGTAAATTATAAAAATACTTATTTATTTTCTGTGTCCCACCGACTTTACTTATTGCCCATTATTGTGTCTTGTGCTCATTTCAATTTTGTGGGATCGTTTGTAAATAAATTAATAAATAATGATGTCTTTTGTTGTTTTATTTTGTATGCGTTTGTACAGTTTAGGGGATCCTTTTTTGGAGATTTGGTGGTAAGCGATGATATGGCCTCCTAAAGACTCATAAGCGGCGTATTCTTTCGTACCTTAATTACACCGTATCTTTAGACCCAGCCAGGATAATAGTTATGTTTATGAGGGTACAAAATATAATCACAATAAATCAGAAACTTATTGAGTCAGAATATAATACTGACTTAAGAATGTAACGCGCTTTTGGCGCCAAGATAATTTAACGGCATCATCAGGAACTAATGAGAATTGTGAAAGCTTCTATACTCAATGCTTACACGCACATAACGAAACGATTTTCTATCTGTATACAAGGTAGTTTGTGTCTTATTTCATAGATGGCATCACTGTACGACTTTTTATTAAACATTTATTAAATCACACAAACATTATTAACACACTTACTAAACTAACTAAATATGTAAAATAATAATAATAGGTTCTGATGGTGGACAACCGAAAAGAAGACCTAATCAAGATGTTAATTTTTCAAACGTTAAAATGTTGTTGCAATGTTGCATAACCGTATTGTGCTTCCTATTATTGATAGGGACCTTAACAAACACATTTCGAAAACCAAGCCTGTTACACTTTACTTTACTTTGATTAATTAAGCAACAGACAGAACTTCCACACTTTAAAACCACAAATAAAAACGACAAGTAGGTAATCGCCAAATCATATCACAGCATATGCATATCGTCATTCTACATATTGACTCACAAGAAGTTCAGAAAGTGAAAATAATGAGTAAGCAACATACTAGTCATCAATAACATAATTCGAATGACGAAGCAATACCTTCAATTCTACAGGTAAATAAAAACAATGAAAGAAATATTGGTCACATGATAACGAAAACATTTCAACTAGATTATAAAAAAACCGACAGTTTAATAGCAAATGTTGTTTTATGGAACCCCTAGCCAATGTTATAACTAGGTAGTATTGAATAGTAAATCGACAATTAAGTCAAGTAATATAGTAAACCCTCAAAAGGTCGGTAACGTACTTGTGACGCATCTGGTGTTCCGGGTGTCCATGGGCGACGCCAATTGCTTGCCATCAGGTGATCCGTCTGCTCGTTTACCGGTATTTCCTACAAAAAGTGAATTAGAAAATAAGCATATATTTAATAGCAATAACCTCCTTTGAATCGTAAGTGCAAAAGCAACTGCACTGATGCAGGTCAGTGACCGATAAAATTAAAATTACTACGCCTGTCTACTGCCATGCCGGTATGAACCTGGCAATAATTTCGTTACCATTTCAATTTTCCAGTCACCGTAGCATTTATCTTCAAGGCCAATATTGAAAGTGAAAGATGACATATCTCAAAACTATTGGCAGGTAAAAGATTGAAAAGATTCGGTTCTTGTATTTTATTGAAATGGTGGAATATACGATGGATTCATTACGAAGATTTCTAATATGTTTATTAAAGCTATCAAACAATGTAATGTTCAAGTTCATCAGTAAATAGAGTTCGTAGTTATTTTACTAAACTACTACTTTATATACTTTTTCTAAAATTAAAAGCATCGGCAATTCCCAAATAAGAGTATTAAGTTGGTAGTAACTGTTTTCTGCCAGGCGTCGGTTGTTCTCAGATTGGGACTGTAAAAATCATAAGTTAATTATATTCTTTAGTTATTTTCTTATTTTTCGTCAGAAATAATCAAGCATTTCTATTTTCATTGACCATAACTACCTAGTTTTCACACACAACCATTAACATTATATAAATTAATAAGTACAACAAAAAATGGTAATTAATGGAGGAGAATCAAGGTTCATCCCATCACATGTATCTTCGGGTTACTTTCTTGGAGAGGCTTCCCTTAATTGTAAAGAGTTAAGGAAATGAACACATATTTATTTTTTAGGCAATGTGCCAGATCTCCAAGAGTACAATACCTTTAAGCAACTGCCCATGACATTGCACTACTGGACTATGGATCTTCTCGACTTAAGAGGGTTTACCATACTCCATGCTTCGAGATCGCAGTTTAAAAAAATATAGAATTATAAGTAAGCGTTTCTTTTCGGGTTCTGTTACATATGAACTTCCTTAATCGGCTTTTATTATTATTATTATTTTTATTATTTTATGACCCCCTTTGAGAAAGTAGAGGTAAGTGTCATGTTATATGAGACCTTCAGAGTACACCAACTAATAATATCAGGTTGGATTCTGTCCATTAAACTTCTCCAAACTTTTAAAAGCCCATTAAAAACGAAAACTGTGATAATAGGTTACACTACCACCATTTGCTTAGACCTTGAAGTTGTGACGAAACTTGGATACTGTTATAATGGACGCCAGTTACACATTTTACGAGATACCACGATGCTGTTGGTCTCATGAGATTGTAGTCCAGATTATGAGATAAAATATAAAGTACAATTCTAGTATATAGAGATAACATCTAAATAGAATCATTAGAAGTTAAAAAATGTTTTTGAATGCACTACTGTGATGCTGTAGATCTGTCTGTTTATCTACTTGGGAAAATATGAACTACAACTAATGGAAATTTTCAAGTGGGTAATGTTTGTTATTCAACGTGATGATAGGTTTGTCTGCTATCCCAACATATGCTAATTCACGTTGAGTTCTAAATAACTCTGCAGCCGACAACTAGTCATGCATAGCATTTCTATTAGCACACGCCTTTATACCAGTTTTTATACAAATGCATTCAAAAAACGGCGCTCTCACAAGTTTCAAACGGTCACTCCAATTTGACCCAAAAAATCTAAAATGACCCTTAAAAACAGTACTGGGAACTTAATTCCCTTAGTACCAAAACACTTCTCTGAATGCAACGGACCCCTCAGAACGTGACCTAGTAGGTCTTTTCTCTCTTTCTAACAACATTGACCTCAAATCTCCTGTCTCACATCACGCATCTTAAGAAAAACCCCGTTACTTTTACCTGTGCAAAAAGGCTCTACCTGCGGAGGTAGATAGACGATACTGACTGGTTTTTGTTGTCTCTCTCTTTTATTTACTTTTAGTTTGTATGTAGGAAAGGGAGAGGTAGAATGCTAATCCGGTACCGTAGACCGGTGGTGCAAGTTTTTGACAGTACGTATCAAAGTTAGCGGAGTGTTTGAGTCGGTGTATAGTGTATTTAGTTTCGTTAGTGTTATTTAATATTTATAAATAAAAATATGTAATATTGTGCGTTTTGTGAAGTGATTTGTGTTTATAGGAAGTACTTTTAACAAGGTACGTGTTGTAACGTGTAAAATTTTGCAATAAGGCGTATTTACACAATACTTTCTTTGCATAACATGTCAGTTAGTCATCAAGGTCAAAATACATCTCTTGTAGCCTGACCTTTAGGAAACGTATAGATTTATAAATTGAATAAAATCAATAAAATTCCAAAGAACCGGTAGGCACTGCTTAGGTCATTGAGAAACATGATGATATCATACCATTTTTGCCCACAACAATACATTTTATTCGACACAGCAGTTTTTGAGTTTATGCAAGAATACACACATACAGCATAAAAATATTTTATTGTCTTAGTTTCCGCATTTATTGTTCTTTTAAAATGAAGCCTTATGAATGCTTACGTTCACATAACACTGTCCAGGGTTTTAAAATTTGTACTATGCTTACTTACCAATATGTTTCGAAAAGCTGGGCTGAGGCCCATATATAGACCTTTTCCCTCTAATAGGTAAATTGATAAATATAATGATAGTTTAATAGGACATAGATATTATTTAATCCGGTCATAGTATAAAGGTAGATATGGGTGAAGAATACAACACATTCAAAATATAGTTCAGGCTAGGCGCCTATTTGTAAACAGACTAGAGATGAATGACGAATAGCAACTCATTGAATCTTTCTTTTTAAAAGCTTTCATTATTTTTTTCTATTTTCACTAAACATCTTATATTTAAAGTAAAAAATAATGCTCCAAATTGTTTTCAAAGTTTTCTTTCTTTATTGATTTGTCTATTTCAAATAAGACTTCGTCGATCTGACCAATAAGACAGTGATGTGACCAAAAGGTTTCGGAACAAGTTCCAAACGGTACAATTTGTATGTCAGTGGCGCAGACGCAGAGACATTCAGAAACAAGACATGCGGTATGTCACGCAAATTGCGGTATTTAGGTAATAATAGGTTTTGGTTATAATAAGCTGTTATTGAACATGAAGTTATTAGTATTTTTTATGATATACTTTTCCATGTTCCTGATAGGATGTGTGCTGGTATCGTTGGTTGAATGCAGACGAGGAAAGCAGTTATTATTTGTTTTCTAGATTTCAAAATACTTTTTTTAGAAATAAATTTTGAAACTCTTCTTTAGAAATAGGTAGTAGGTATCTGAATTTTAAATTTGTTATGAACAAGACAAGAAATTCGTCTATCTGTAATAATATATAATAATACCACTGAGGACTATGATTTTATATATAGAGAAATGGGGTGTGTGTTATGTCGATGGAGTCGAATTTTTTGTATATAATTATTATTAAACATATAACATACTATCACGCCTTTTATCCCCGAAGGGATAGGTAGAGGTGCACATTATGCCACTGTACAATGTTACACCCACTTTTCACTATTTATGTTATGAGTCCCATGTAATAGGGGGTGAGCCTATTGCCATATACCACGCACAATTCCAGACTCCGTGCTACTACTAAGATTTTTTTTTTTAAACTCAGTAATACTTTGCCCGACTCGGGAATCAAACCCGAGACCCCTTGCCCGGCAGTCGCACTTGCGACCACTCAGCCAACAAGGCAGTCTTTAAATAATAATGGCCCAGGTTTACAACAAAGTGCTAACTGCATTTATTAACGGTCAAGTAAAATTCAAGTACCTATGATACTATAGAATATCAGTGACTTTCTTATTGCAGTAAGATTTACCCTTTTTAATATTG